GGTGTGTGTGTGTGTGTGTGTGTGTGTGTGTACGGGGCGTACCGTCTGGAACCTGCACCTCTCTGTAGCGAGTCAGCTGGCTCGGGAGGAGGGGCTTTGATTGAGCATTTTCAATGAGCGTGTCCTCCAGCATCTGTATCATGCCAAGAGCAGACTAGAGACGAAAAACAGGGAGGGAAAACAAAACGTTTCAAGTCCACAAAACAGTTTTGTTAAGGGAAATGCTACAACATTTAGCTCTGATGATTAGGTCTGTCCAAGAAGTTGTAAATGAAGTCTGTTACAGACACTTTCCCTTAACCTGGCTTCTATTTCAGGAAGTGATTTTCTGTGTAATGTAGCTTGCAACAAAATAGCTTTTTTAAATTGATGTTTTATAGGAACATTTCCTGCCTTGTAATGGTCTCCTTTGCGAACATTAATAAGTGCACATTCCCCATCAAAACATGACTACAGGACTTGTCATCCATTATACAGCCTCATATTACAAGGCTTCTCTGCAAAACTGCTTGGTCATGTTTTACCTCACCGATGGCTTATCAGATTATGTTCCTAAACGTTCCTCATGTCGTACCCAAAATTACTTTAAAAAAAAAAAAACACATATGGTGAAGCAGCCTTCTGTTGTTCTGCACTAAAGGTTTGGAACAAACTCCAATCACACAGAAGTCAAGTAACTTCTGTTAAAAGCGTAAATACAATTTTTTACAATCTTGCTTTTTATTAATTCCACCTCTTTCTGACAGCATAGTTATTTTACATTTCTCATAGTTGTTTTTTAAAGATTTTTTTAATTTCTTGTTTTGATTCTATTTTTAAGGATCTTATTATTTTTTGTGTCCCCTGTTTTTAAATACCTGCGTTATTGATTTCTCTCTCTTGTGAAGTACTTTGAGCTGCATTTTGTTATGAAAATGTGCTATATAAAACGTGTATTATCATTATTGTAGAAGCAGGCCTGCACTGTAGTACCATGATGACAAAAAAAAAAAAGCATCATTCCTCCCGCTGGTGAGACTAATTCTATCTCCAACAGCCTGACGCTGTCATCATGACGAGGGGTAAGGGAGCTGGGATCTCAGTCACAGTGAAACTTGATCGCAGGATCTCAAGAGAGGTTTTTGACTATAATCCTTTGTGACATCATAGGAAGGCAAGATAAAAGGCAGAATGTGTGAAATGTTTGAGAATAAAAAAAGTATTCAATATTCACTGAGAAAAAGGCACAAAGTAAAGTTTCCAAAAACGAAGCAAAAACACAGCGACAAACCTCCTTGGTGATGTTGCCATGGAGAAGGGCTTCAATATGTAACCGTGACAATAGCTGAGGTATGAAGGCCTTGAGACGTGGGAGAGTCACATCTGGAATACAGATCACAAAAAACAGCAATCAATCAAAGAGCAATTTCCAGAGCTGCCATCAAGCATGAATCAGGGGAAAAACTGAATAACTGTGTGTGGGGGGCGATTTCGTCGCACAGCATTCTTGTCACGAACATGACAAAAAGCCTGGTCTCGCGCGCGCACGCAAGCCTGGTCGCGCGCGCAAGCCTGGTCGCGCGCGCAAGCCTGGTCGCGCGCGCAAGCCTGGTCGCGCGCGCAAGCCTGGTCGCGCGCGCACACGCACGCGCGCACATGCACGCACGCACGCACGAACGCACGCAAGCCTGGTCGCACGCGCAAGCAAGCCTGGTCGCACGCGCAAGCCTGGTCTTTGACCCTGCAGGTTGATTGAGTGTCATGGTAATTTGAGGATAGTCTGTGTAAACTGTGATAAAAAAAAAATATTTTATATCTCTCTTGCTCTCTGCCCTTCAGGTTCCAGACAGGCACTGCAGAGAGGAAAAGACTGCAGCTAGGGAGGCATCTGCTGGAGAACAGCCTCAGCATTCAAATGAGGATGTCAGGAGGGAAACAGAAGAGAAGAAAAGACCGAAGGTGAGGAGGGAAGAAGTAGCCCTCCAGCGATGGTACGCCAGACACACTGAAACTTAAGCCCAGGACATCACGCATATGAAACCAAAAAAAAAAAAAAAGTGAACTTTCTTACCAACAGTGATTCAGTGATTCAGCCTCATACAACTACTATGAATTTCAGTGAACTCAGTTTGGACCGCAGTCGAAAGAAGGGGACTAATGAGCACTCTGAGAGATTAAGAGAATCCATCCTCACCATCTAGAGCCTCTCTGAGCTCATCTTTGGTCCAAGCTACCTCAGTCATTAGCAGACGGAGGTAGTACATGGCGTGCTGGTGAGGCTGCTCGGCTCTGAAGTTATTCAAAGACCTCATGTACTGCAGGGAAAAGGAGAAGGCAAAGTCAGCTCAACATCCACACTTTATAAACTGCATTTAAAGTAAAGATGAAAAGAACAAGTCAAATCTACTGCAGCCAATCACAATGACTGCGATTACTTTACTGCTCGTGTGTTGCAACATTCAGGGGTTCAATGAATTGCAAGTCATTCCTTTGATCGATCACGACTCATCACAACTTTGCACAGATGATGGGAGTTGCAGTTGGAGCTTACCGCTTCTTTGATGATGTCGAAGCGCTTCTCGTCTATCTCAAAGCTGGCCATCTTCTCAACGATCTTCTTCAGCAGGATGTGCTGTTTGTCACTGTAGCCTTTGACGGACAGCTGCGGCAGACAGTGAGAGGACGGATGGCACGCCATCAACAGACGGAACGACACGGTGAGCCTGAAACTACAGCTTCACTTGTTGACTTGTTTATTTGGTGTGGAATTACTGGCTGACCAGATGAATGTCAAGAAAAGCCCAGCCCTAACCGCTTAAGATAAATCACCCCAAGTTACAAAAGATATCACAAAATAACTAAAAAAAACAACGTACATATTTGCCTTAAATGTTCCAATTAACTTCAAACTATAAATGTGGATGAACATACTTTTATAAAAAAAAAAAAAAAAAAAAAAAAAAGTGTATGATGGGGAAAGCTCACTCTTCATCGTTTGCTACAATATTAACTGTTACACCACCGAACAGCATGCTGGGTACAGCTTGCTCTCAGCAGTTCGTGTGAACTTTTACACCCAAATGACATGTCTCCTCTAGTGTTGCTGGAGGATGCAACTATGCCACGGCAGGCATGTTGCTCAGGAGGCACAGCGTCGAATAGGTCGTGGTTTGGATGAGCGGTTCCCGAGAGAGCTCCAACACTGGAGGCCAAGCAGAAGTTCCGAAGGCACGTTTTCAACGGGCACTGCACTAGTTAAATAAACAGTCAAGGTTATTTAAAGCCTCTATTTTGCAACGTCACCTGAACCTCGTGGCCCTTCATGATTCAGCAAAACCTCCAGCTACATGGCTCTGCTCTCAGACTCATCCCATCCCTCCCCACTCCCGGGATCTCTGCGGTGACACCCGTTAAAAGTAATCTCTCCTAACGTCATTAACCTTGACAAAACACCCGGTCAGCCACACCAATACTGCTGACTGAAAATCACTTACAGCCCATCTCGCCACTACACGGACGGTGTGCCGAGTAGCTGTCTCTAAGGACACACGGCAATCATGCGTTCACCGAGTGACAGGAAGCTAAAGAATGCAGGTCACCAGGTCGTAGGACACAGGGTGAAGGGCGTTAGTGAGGAAGTTAGAAAGCGTCAGAAGGAAAGAGCAAAACACCACCACCGCAAACCACTTTCATTCAGAGGTAAGCTTGCTACTTTGCCGTGCAGCATTAAATCCCTGAAAGACACAAACGCAGCTGTATTCATAAATTGGGGGGGGGGGAGAAACAAAGAGTTGTCTGATTGGGTAGTAGCTTGTAACTACGTCCATCAAACTTCCTGGATACGGATCTACTTCCAATATCCTTTGTGCAATCACATCAGCAGAAATGTGACAAGAAATATGTCAGAGAATCTGCATCACTTGGCTTTGTTCCTCGCGTCTTGCGACAGACACACTTTTTCATCTACTAGCAGTGCGACATTAAAACAAAAGCGAGAGAATGTCAGCCAAGCGACCAAAACAATAATTAGAAAGAGTGGGTAAAACCGTGCCATCATCCAGTCTGTTTCTCAATCTCCTTAAAAAAAATGAACATGCACCGTCGTTACCCTGAATGAACTCTGTCATATCAGTCACTAGTCCTTGAATGAAGCAGCCAGGGTTCAGTATAGACTTAAAGCCTCAATAGTCAAACTGAGCGCAGAAAACAAAGCCATTTCCACACTATGTCAAAGCCTCAGCCCCCGCCCCCCCCACTTCAGACGGCTTACTTACGAGGATGGCATTCACCCCCAAGGCTACACCGTACACCAGCCCCGCCAGGCGGGCTGCATATGTATACTCGTTTAAATCATCCTTCAGTAACCTGAGTGACAAGTACGCCATGTTGCAGTGCAGAGGGTCTGCATATAGGTAGCGACTAATGGAAGGGAGGGGGACAAAAATACATGCGTGTTGGAAATCAGGAGTTGTCAAAATAAATAAAATAAAACACACTAGACAATGCAAGTACGAGAAGCACGATAAGAGGAGTATGTATATGCAGCCCTATGACCAGTTTTCTGTCTGGTAAAAACGGTCGCCATCAGATCAACCTTTAAAATCATGAATGCACCGCTGTTGGTGGAACGCCATTTCACCCGATGTCATAACCCCGTTTACATTTCACAATAAGACATCTCACGGAGAGAAATGACAATCATTCGGTGTGCCCGACAACGTGAGAAAATAATTACACTAAGGAGCCGTAAGCGGTTCGCGGGAGGTGGATGAACAAAAAGGGAAATGGGATTGATAGAGGAAGAGGAAGATACAGAACAGAGGCTGGACCAGGCAGGTCTGGGTTTGAAGGTTTGAGCAAATCATTGTATTTTTTCTTTTCTTTTCTTTCTGAGTTATGTCTCAAATTGTCAGGTAGTTTGACAATATAGATGATGGTCATATCAGAGATGTCTAATTGTATCATCCTGTGTGTTATAAACTCCCATTGTGGCAGTACAGATGTCTTAAAGCTCTCCGTCAACCCAGGCCTGGCTGAGCCAGTCACCCAGTCTGAGGATGATGGAGGCTGGAGACGTGAGGTCTGGGATGCAGCATGAGGGCGATGGGGAGGGATTGTGAATACTTACATACATCCCATAGACGGTATTTTGGAGGTCATAGTTCAAGCCGGCTAGCTCGGCTGCATATGCATACTCGTTGAGGGAGTCCTTGAGGAGCTCAAGGTATAAATATGCCATGTTGCAATGCAATGGGTCCACATAAGCAAAGGGGCTGTGGAGAAAACGGCAGTGGAGAAACAAAGGAGAGAGATATTCAACTGTACGTCCTACACTGTCTCACAGTAGGAGCTGAAGGAATTAGAAGTCGCATACAGAACATGGAACTATCTAAAATTAACATGCGATTAACTGTAGTCAGAAGGCCATTTGACAAGGATGCTATGCAAGTAAAATATGAAAAATGTTTTTATCATGGGGCGGTTTGCATGAACCAGGTCCTCCCCCCGTACAAATCGACAACTTTCCTACTGACTGTAGTTAAATACGGGTGAGACGGTACAAAAACATTCCAAATCAGGACGCTTGGTGTCCAACTTGTTACAGTTTGTTACAACCTATGAACCAAATAATTGACCCACCCAGAAGGGTTTGGCTGCGTTTCAGTCGACTGTTGAGAAACCACCATTTTAAAACAGAACATGTTCAGCTTCCAGTAGATTTATAGCTGCAGTGTAATACTTCCTTCAGCTCCTTTGAAAGATTCAAATATTTTCATATTGTAGAGCGGCTATAGGAATTGTTGACATAACTGCTAACAACTGATAAAAATCATTTTTCTACACGTTTGTTTGGCTGATTTCTTTTAATTATTGCTACTGATGGTTTACGTGCATTGCATTAATGACTGTATTTTCTTGTTATTATGATTAGAACTTATGAGGAAACCCTTTAGTATTACCAAGTACAAAGTTGATGTCTTGGTGAGGACCTTGTACCTTAAGTTCCAGCTGAGCTACAAAGGTTTACGGTTCGTTACGCACCTGAAGAACTCAAAGTTCAGGCAAGCTTTCGGCAGGAAGAACTTGTCGTCCTGCTTGAACCACACCTTGCTCATAGCAGTGTCCTGGAACAAATGAACACCACACAGAGGCAATTCTTATTTTCATATTCATGTCCGTTCTGTGCAAAGATAATCGTTCGCAGTCCCTGGAAATGACAAGTCCCACTTCAGCTGCACACCACAAGTAGAGAGTGAGCATTCGCTTCATCATAAATCAACAAAGTTACTTTGATATGAACAGATTACACAAGAGTCGCTGAGCAATAAAAGAAAAAAAGGCTTTTAGTTTTACTTTCCTTAGAGAGTGGAATATGAATATCTTAGCTCCTCTGATCTTGACATGATGGCAACCGTATTAAATGCTTTATGTCTCAATCACAATACCTAATTAGCATACGAAAGCATAACAGAGATGTTCAACAATATGCAGTTAGGTAATGAAGCGAGACAACACTTGGAGTACTTTGACGGAGCTGTGCGACTAAGACACTTGCCTTGATTAAAGTGGGTACTGATGGAGAGTCTTTCTCCAGAGGGTAGATCTCGAAGTTGGTTGGGATGAACTCGTTTTTCATAGGCAATTTGAACTTGCCGTTGAGGTCTGCACTTGCCCATTTCTGAAACACAGGCAGAGTTTAACACAACTGAAGCAGTAGTCATGCCCTTTTTTTCTGCTTTATGATGTGTATTATTTTTGTGATTTGATTAAAGCACATTCAGAACACCATTGTTTCCTTCCAGTTTACAATACCTCAACTTGTGTACCAACCGATACCAGTGTGTTAAAAACAAAAACAGTTTCACAAGTCATAACTTCCTCTCTAATATCCATTTTATATTGCTGTGAAAACATTTCAAGTTTTCTCCCAATACTCATTTTTACTCAATGGTACTTGACCGCATCATGATGGAACTCAATGAAAGCTCCGTTATTCAGCCAAGCAGAACTGTGCTGCTAATACCCGACGTTAACTAGTTCTCCTCCTGCCAACACAGACTTGTTCATAATGTAGCATTATCAGGGGAAATACATAGTCACATGTTTAACCGCAGGTGTGTCGTACTAGGTCCCATATGTGCAGTACGCATCAGGTAGTGAGTGACACGTGTTGTTCCTGTGTAGAGTAAATAAGCTGATAAATAATATGATAATGTGATATCAGTGCATACACGATAATACCCGATCCTGCATGTTATTCTGTATCGGAGGCATTTCTGATACCAGTATCGGAGTAACTTTAACTATGACTGCAGAGACTCACCTCGAGGGACTCCTCAGAGATGGCCTCCTGTTTGTACTGCGTGCCATACCACTCCTCCGTCTTGTCTGTTTGCCCTTCAAATGACTTTGACACCACTGCAACTCTAAAAAAGAAAAAGAGAGAACCACTTTACACAGACACAAAAACCTCTCTGCCACAGCTGATTGGATACTCTCCAACTGGAACCACAGCACCAGACGAGATGGGAGTGGCATTGCGTTCGGATCATGTCTGAGTTGGTAGAGATTCATTAACAAATTGTCTGCCTCCCACTGATGAGCTAAGTGGCATTATAATGTCTAGCACTTTAATTATGCTACCGGACATGCTGTAACTTCACTCACAGCTGCTGGAATGAGACCGATACATGAGGAAACAGCGTCATGCCCGTAGCGCTGGCAAAACGGCCACTTCAGTAATGGAAGAGACTGGCATGTGAACTGCTGGGGTGAGCCAATGAGGGCATGCAGTCTGCTCCTTGGGAAGCATTAAGGAATGGACTAGCTACAAGTCTGCACTTTGCTTGAATCAAGTAGCATCCCATAAAAATGAATTACAGTTAAAGCTACACCAGGCTAAGGAGACTCAAAGTCGGGTTGCACCAGAAGAGGTTGTCTTTTCCCCACAATAGGAATCTCTTAAACAGTTAGAAAGGGACACTTCACACTTGGTGTTTAGGTCCATAACAGTTAACTTTGGCTGCCACCAAGTCTACCAGCACACAGCATCAAGCTGTCTAGCTCTGCTTTAAAAGTAAAATACTTTTTGATAAACCAACACCGCTAAATAAGGTGGGGCAGATAGTTGGAGAAGATTTGATATTAGTCAAAATAGAATAGAATAGAAACCCTTTTTATTGTCATATACACATACACGAAATTTGATTTTACAAAATGTAAAATCCTAAGAGGATACCAGCATTTCCAATGCAGAGAGCATAAACTTGGTAATGTATTCCTGAGCACACATATCCATCTCCTGAGATATCAAAGCGACCCTTTGAGGCTGCAGAGATAATCAAATCTGTGAAGATGTCTGGCATTCCTTTTCAAGGCAGCAAATTGAACATACAAAGCTTGTCACAGCTGGCGGGCCCCAAACTTTAATCTTTATCTGAATGTATTATCCTCTATATTGTTATCCTCGTATTATGCATCAGTTATTAAGATACAGTCGACGTTCTGCACAAATACACACACATTATTACATAAAGCATGCAATCCATCCATTTATCAATAAGAGCAGTTATTTTCTGTGCATTATACACAACATTATACACACGTTCTCGCACTAACCTGACGTGGTCAGGTCTCAGCTTATCCAGCACCATCTCGATCAGGTCTGGCCTGAAGTCCTCCAGGAGGTACTCTGCTGCTAGAATCTCTTCAAGAGGGTAGTACTGAAACACAAAGACAGCGGTTAGCAATGTAGCTTTGAAGGTGGGGAGATTTAACTGTAAAACATATGTGGAAAGGGCTAAATTAATTAAATTCCTTCGTCCAAATACTTTCAAGTCTTTAACTGCCACCGGAGTGGAATGACAGTAAAGCAGATCTGTTGTTAAAGCTCTTATCTTGATGGTGAGGAGATCTTAAATCCAGAGTTCAACGACTGAATCAAATCTTGCAAAGTGTTAAGAGAAGTGTGTGAGAAATTGTTTTATTGCACTGCCAAACCTGGCAAGAACACGCACGCACACACACGCACACGCACACACACACAAAAATTCCTGTAACTGGTGCAGCAGTGATGATTACGTCCTTAAGCCAGTGAGCCATGCAACGACAGTCACACAGGTATTGTGGTAGATATAAAAGCCGAGCCTAACTGACTGCGCCGCTGCAAAATCTAGTCAACAGCAGCACCAGGCAGCCCGATGACGACAGCAGGTAGAGACGCAACGAGCTGCACAGCGTCTCCCTGGAAACAACCTCAGCAGACGGAGAGGGGACCTACGTGTACTAGACCAGCCACTTTGGATGTGTAGCCACGGGGTCGCTCCTTGTCCTTGAACCTGAAGGCCACTTTGTTTAAATCCTACAGAGAGACAGAGAGGTAGAATGTAACAAGTGAAATCACAACACGTACAACAGTTGCATACGATTGACAGGAATTTAGAGGCAGTTTCTAGAAAGAGGATGAGTCATTCTAATCCTTCAGCAAACAGACTTTTACAGTGTAGCACAGAAAAAGAACACCAGCTTCATTTGACACTGGCTGCATTCAGCAGATAAGATGGATTCAAACCTGCCAGCTATTTCCACCATCGGTCTCTGCTGTCAAAAGTCTGTGCCGCTCCATTAGTTTCCCCACTAACCAGAAATAAGTAGGTCAACTTCGTCCTGCCATGTTATCTCTAAACAGACAACATTAATTACCTTGCACTCATCGAACACCCACGCCTGAGGTCCCTCAGTACGCAGTTTCTGGATGTACTGGAACATGTGGAAGATGATGTCCTCAACGTGCACTGCAGTGACACAATATATACAACATGCCTAAATGAACAGCATCTACAGTTCATTTACTCAGCAGAAACCAATCAGACCACAACAGGGAATTATCCTAAACACATGCAAAGCACAGCATCAAGCGATGAATGGACTATGAGGCTGTGCTACTTACAGAGGCCCTCCTCAGTCAAGTCCACGTTGATGATGAAGAACATGAATCCTCGGGCTCCTTCTTTTTGCCCTCCAACAAGTGTGTTCACCCAGCCTTCAAAATAATAAGAATCATTCATATGAGATTTAAGATTCAACACCTTAATAAAACAACCTTCATTTTGCCCTTAAAAAAAAAAGAAAAAAAAGTGTGTTCTGTTCACCCAGTCGTAAACATAATAAAAATGATGATCATTTTCAGTTAGTCATTAGATTTAGAATTGAACATCTTAATAAGTTTAATATTACATCTTAGAATCTAAAAAAAAAAAAACTAAATTATACTCTGGTTTAATAATCAATCATAGAATGGTACGTATTCAGATTCTTGTTCATATTATTTAGTATTTATATCTGGTCATACTATGTTAAAAAAAAACTTAAATTCATTGAACAATCTTTGAGGTGGGAAACGATGATACAAACCCTACACAACAGTTTGAGCTAGTTTTCAACTTGTGTACGGCACCTTAAGTCACAATCACAATCCAAACACATCTGTCCTAACAGTTGGGAAGTTAGGCAAACCAATTGTGCATTGTTTGACTTAAGCATGAATGTTTCAGCATATCATTTCATACTCTAAGGTTTGGTTTCAGCTTTGCCTAAATTGCATTTTTGTTCCAATAAGGATTGAAGAGGTTTCTGACTCTACCACATCTATGGTTTATTTCCAGGTGTAAAAGTAGCTATAGCTTGTTAACAACTTATGCTGTATGTTGTACGGAACTCATTTCAGGATTCCAGTAAGTGCTTCTTGTCTGACCGACAGCTACATTAGCAAGAATGTAGTAGTCATAATAACACTAAATATGTGGCAAGCTAGCAAATTAGCAAACAGGCTAATCAGTAGCTAGCAAGCTAGTTTGTTGTTTGAATTTAGTATCGCTGCACAGAACAATACAAATATACACTTGCTATGTGGCATGTTCTTGTGGATCCCTCTGCATGCTTCAGCAGTAGTGATGGGAGGCCTATACAACCATAGACTTTGATACTTCAACCCTCTCCATTGTTAACATTTATTTTCTGCTTCCTTCTGCGTTGCCATGTTGAACTCCATTTACTGCCAACATACCCAGATCAGTCTGTCCTCTACCCACATGTATTATGTGCAATCTATCTGAAATAGGAGCGTGAAAATAATACAATTTTTTTTATATAGCGCCTTTATGCCTTCCAAAAAGTGAAAAGAATTTAGCTAACCCCCAAAATGCACAATACCTTCCCAATAGAAGCTTACCCGCTCCACTTGTTATGTTGGAGCTGTACGTTACACCTTACCTTTAGATTTGAGCTCAGATAACAAACTTCCGGGTCCCTCGTGACCAATCAAATGTCCCAGATAATGTCCCGGGTTAGACTTGTAGTACTTCTGGAGGTCCGGGATGGGGAAAGTCACATACAGGTTCCTGATGTCTTTAATAGGCACCACTTTGTAGAATTGCTGCAAGATTAGTAAACATAGTGTTACTTAGGAAAACTCACTTATATTTCAGAAAACTGATTTTGATGTTAACTGGAAAACATTTTCATTATCTTGTGCCTGAATACATTTTCCCCACAAAACATTGAAGGTCTATTCATATAGCAAACATATATTATATCACATTAAATATTGGGTATGGCCCAGTAAAAGTGTAAAGAGATGACAAACATTGGTGAGATACAGTGCATCCAGAAAGTATTCACAGCGCTTCACTTTTTCCACATTTTGTTATGTTACAGCCTTTTTCCAAAATGGATTAAATTCATTATTTTCCTCAACATTCTGTACACATCAACCCATAATGACAAAGTGAAAACTGTTTTTTGCAAAT